CTTGAAATTCGACGTAAATTTGAATGAATGATAGGATTATTTACAAATTATATTTTTTATTGTTTAAGTTGTCTGAAAAAGTTCGTAAATTTATGTCTCCAGATGTGGTGTTACAAAAAAAATCTTGCTTTTTCGAATGTTTAACCCTATTCATACTCTAAAATATTTTAAAAGACACATTTCCGCTGGCATATTTTTTATCTATGCTGAAAAAATTCAATTATCGACCGAGTAACGGACGCAGAAACACGGAGAATCGAAACTCCTCCCAGACACTGTGGGGTATGGTATTTGTCACTCAATATCTCAGAAATAGGTCTAGAAACCTATTGATATGTCTGCTTTATAGTATGTGGGACATACTAAATAAGATATATACAAAATATGAAGAAAAAAAATTGAATGACAGGTATTTTTTTCAGCTAAAGGTCCTTTCCCCCTTAATTAAAAGGATAGGCAAAAGGGGTTGGTGGTGGTGGTGATGGGGGTAAACAAACCTCATTTTTGTTTACAAACAAGTACATTGCAAACATATTCTAAATCTTCATTCAAGAACAATTGCGTTGTCTTTGTTTTAAACAAAATAGTTATGTAAAGCTTTCTTTGATTTTATTACTGTGTTTTAATTTAACAAGCGATGATTAAACCTCAAATTCTTTAAAGATCAAAATTTACATTCAGCGTATTTTTATTTTATTAAATCCATTAGAAATTTAAGACGTTCAAATTTTTTAGATAATTTTCAGACTCAAATTAAACACAATAGGAACTACATGCATTTTCTATATCTAGGAACAGTTAAATGGATTTTGCTTTGACTCCATTAAAAAAAATATACGTCTACCTTTTTGACTTAAGATAAAATACAACAATTGTTCGTTGAAAATAAATTTCCCATTTTTTCTTGCAATTTCATTTTGCGTTATTATACTTTCCAACGTCACAAACAGCTGCTATGTTTATTAATCAAACTGGTAAAGGGCGCTAAATTCACATTAAACACAAACGAAATGAACAATATTATTATGAAGAGGAAAAATTTGAGAATGTAAATACAAGCATTGAATTCATATAGTTTGGATGCCGTCTGTCTTATATTGCCATTATTTTCATGCAGCCATCTGTAAGTTGAATTCAAGTATTTTGATGCTGATTTGATCCTGCTTATTTTGTTTAAATAAATCTTAAATGTGGAATAGTACAATCTTAATATATATTATCCTAGCTTAGAACTAATTTATTACAAAATTTAAATCTTAACCTAAAACATCGTTCTTAATAATTGTTTGATTTTCCAGACAGGGTTTCATTTTTATGCTCGGGTTAAAGTGAGAGACAACGACACTTGATCCAGTCCCCACCCCCAAATTTTCTTTAATTTCCTTGGACACATGCATAACAATTTTTGTCGAAAGCTGCAGAATCTTCAGTTATTGATTAAAGTAGAAATGGGGTCAAGACGGGAATGATTGTTACTATATTTTTATAAAAGTTATTTTACTAACGTTTTAGGACAAAAAGACGTTGTACCTCTTAGCATATCTAAATTTATTTATTAAGGTTTAAAAAAAACATTGTTTGAATATTGCTTATTATCTATGGAACAATAAAATAGCATTAAAATTATCGAAGGGAAACATTTCAGTTTTAAAATAGTTAAAATTCAACTGATCACATATTCTTTTTAAGATCTTCTTTTAAGATTTAAAACAAATATTTTGGCCGGTTTACGGATGAAATTACTGCCTCCAGACTCGATATTCAGTGATATCACTAGTCTTAAATTAGCAGTAAAAAGCTACATCTTGCTATCCAAGGGTTTCCGATTCGAAAACTATTCTAGTGGTGGAGATGTGAAGGGAATCGAAAACCCCTGGCCAGCGAAGATTACAGAATCTTAACAACTATAGGTACATGTAGACTACTAAAAAAAATCAGCACGTTTTAAAAGCCATGGGTTAGAGAAAACTAAGGGCAAATTTGCAAAAATAAATAAATAAAATAAAATTAAATAATAATAATAATAAAAAACAACAACAAAAACATCAAAATGCATTATTTCTTTTCTTTGGAATGGAAGTTTAACACATTTAAAAAATATATACATAAGTTTACAAGAGAAGCCAAGAACTTCTTGGACGTAGGGGTCAGTGCTAGACATTTTCCCAATTGGTGTCCGAATTATTCCGATTATTTGTGGAGCAAAACAGGCAGTACTCTTGAAAGGGGTTTCTATGGAAATGTTTTAATTGTAGCTGTATTTATTGAGAATTATAATATTTCCAAAGGGATGCCAAAGGAAACAGTTTGCCTTCATTATCAGATTGAAGGAGATGGATTTCATGAACAGCGTGGATATATACGAAAAGCTGTTCCCTTCTATTTAGAGAATAGGGTGTTTATATCAAATTTAATCAAGCTTTTAGAAAATAAAGTCAGATTAAGAGATATGATGTACAATAAATTACAAGGATCTATCAGGAGCTGAAGCAGAGTCGATATACATATGTTTCAATATCTACTCGTGTGATTGTAATCGTCATATCATTAAAATATACAAGTTCACAGCATAAAAAAATGATTATGTTTATAAAAGATATATTATTCTGACGGAAAAATGTTCATAAAAATCAGAAAGGAGTATAAACATTTTTTCCCAATGATTTGGGTGCATTTATTTCAGTAATGGAAAAATATATATTTTGCTTTTTATTTCCGATATTTCATAGTTTACTGACATTTTATAGTTTTATTTTCCGACATTTATGGAAGATGAAATTTCAGGAAAAAAAAGCTGGGAGTGAAGACTTTCACAATCAAAAATCAAAATCCTTGAACAATAAATCATTGACATCAACATAATATTTAGAAATTATTTTTAAAGAATAACATGTTAAATATGATATCAGTGACAGTTGGTAGATGTGTCTGGGACAAAGAAAGTAAAATCGCCAAAACTGATTGATTGATTGATTTCAAATTGTTTAACGTCCCTCTCGAGAATTTTTCACTTATATGGAGACGCCACCACTTGCTGGTGGATAGCTTCAAATTTTGTCCTTTACTCGGCACTTTGGGTCAATGATGAGGGGTCTTTTCGTGCCTGTAACTACTGCGACACGGGAATTCGGTTTATACGGTATCATCCGAACGACCAGTCTCCACGTCCCACAGTGGGATTGGAACCCGCGACGTAAGGATCAACTCCTTACTCTGCGAATCTAGAGCAGACGCTCTAACCACTGCGCCACACGGGCGACGAAATCACCGAAATTATATAATTCAAGTGCAGTTGATTTTTTTTTTGGACCGATCGATTATTTATAAGCTTGGTAGACTTGAGATCCATATAAACCCCTATCCCCCCCCCCCCCCGTCCAAAAAAAAAAAACATAAGACGGAAACGCTCAAAAAATTTCGAAAATACTGTGCATAATTCCGAAGATGAAGAGAAGTACATGTATATAACTAAATACTCCTTCTATTCAAGGCAAATCCATAATTTTACTGTTTTAATTTTACCCACCAATGTGAAATTCTGATTATTACTTGTCTATAGAAATAAAATCTTTTTGGATGTTTAAAAATTATTTAGCTGGTACATATTTGTGTATTAGTGTCAATGTGCACACAAAGCATTTAATATAATTATTTATGGAAATTAATACATCAAACTCTGTCCATAGGATCTATATGTCATTAATTACATACATAGTTAAAAAATCTTAATTGTCTTTATGGATCTAAAGCCTTTTTTTTAATAGTTTTTTTTCCAAAACTTAATTAAGATATATTTTTATTGAATTAAAGCCTATATTATCTTTTTTAAATTTTTCTTTTACTTAAGTTTTGCAAAGAATAATTAAAAAAAAAAATTGATATTCCAAAAATGGGGGTATACGTTTTAAAAAAGATGTTTCGTAAAATTTATCTGGTCAGCATTTAATGTGTTTGTATTAACTTTAAATATGATTATATGATTCTTAGTAGAAAGAAAAAAAAAGTTTAGATGTTGAGATTTATTTAAAATTAAGAGATCTTTAGATTTTTTGCTGAAAAACGTAAACATCAATTTGTCAATGCTCTCCAAAAAATTCAATTTTCTCTTGGTAAATGAGTATATTTGATTTTCATTAGATATAACATAAATTTGATGCGATTTGGCGCATAGCTAAACAAGAGTACAACACTTCTTTATGTTTAATTGTGGATATTGATTTTTTAGAGGTCAGTACTGTAATGCAAGTCATATGAAAATTAAAATATGTATTTTATTGATGTTTAGCTATAAAAGGTATTCAAATAAAAAAAAATCAGTTTAAAAGAAAATTTTGAAAGTACGGACCTACCTTCACAAGCTTGTGATAGAAGAAAAATATTCAGAAACGCTGAATATAATTCCGGAGATGAAATATATGGAATAATTTAGATCGCTGTTGGTCAAAGATGTTTTACCCCCGACAAGAATGGAGTTAAAACGCCTTAATGCATTTATCCTTATACATGTACCTCTGCACTACCCTACGAGTTAACTGTCCATTCACAATGTGGATGTCAAACGTGTTTTCTTCATCTGTTTAGCTGTCTGTGTGTCTGTCCGTATCAAAGTTTTGAGCGCAGTTTTCACTGTAACTAATCAGCGCAGATGCATGGAATTTTAGCCATTTTTCACTGATGAGGCATTCCATATGGTGAAATTCATTTTTGTTGAAATCAGCTGCCTGTGTATCCGTCAGCGCACACTTTGTTGTGGCTTGCTATATGATGAAATTCATTTTTATGTGATTTTTTAAAAAATTTTCTGAACAAGTAACTGGATATATAGATAATCTGTTCTGACGAATTTCTAATTCGTCCGAACAAATATCTCATTCGTTCGAGCAAATTTCCATTTTTTTTCGAACAATTACAAATATTTTTCTACCTCGCCCTCCAGTAGCGCATTCGATAAGATCTATTTGATATTTTTTTTAAAAAGGAAAAATGGTTCATTCTTATAATTGCAGTCATCCTTTTATATAATAAAAATATTAACAATGTCCCATATTTAAAGTAAGGCATAGAGTCTCATCGCTAATTACTTTCATAGACAATACAGGTATATACATATATATTATATCGTATAGACATATAGTGACATAAGATAGAAGCATTTTAATGATGTGTTCAGATATTCAATTATGAAAACAATATTAAGTTTGGCACATGTCTAGAATTTGTGATGTAAATTCAGCTTCACAGCAAAAGGGAATTACAATGATTTCATGAGTTGTTGTTCACATTCCTCAACTCTTCGACAAGCTCGCTGGTCGACATTCTTTAATATATCCTTTAATGTCCCATAATTATTAACTGAAAGTTTTCCATCCTCTTCTAGTTTATTGAAATCTTGATAAACAGTTGTTAAATCATACCTTGGTGCTGGATAATGAATTTTAAAATTTATTTTCCATTTAATGTAAACACGCCTTTCCTCTACAGACTCGTCAAGATAGTCAGTCGCTAAGTCTGCAAGTAAGCGTCGGTGAAGTTTCTCTGCTGAATGCATCTCAATACCACTCTTTGTTTCGCTTTTGCCTTGAATAAATTTATAATGAAAGAAAGGAATAAATGTTATACTGATCTATAATAATACACAAAAATATACATTTAACCGATCTCTGTTTTTAAGATAAATAGCACCATGATTCTTTTGAAGAATTTTACAGCATATGGTAAACATTGTAATTATTTTTTCCTCTTCCTTTATTTTTTTATTCAAAGGTGCATGGACACATATTTGAAGAACATTTTCTCAAGTATTCTGTATAATATTAGGACTTATATATTGCAATAACGCTAGAATTTCAATTTAAAATTAAAAGTATATAAAATCTTATTTCCTTTAAAAGTTATTAAAATTTTCAAAATTTTGAACGGTTTGATTAACACATCTAAAATTAAATTCACTAAGGATAAAATATGGTAAACAAGGAATCTGAATGTAAAAATCAGAACACGGTTAAAACTGTGATAGTTTGTAGTTAATTAAGTAAGTTGATGCTTGTTTTGCAACCAGTACAAATTTTGATTTAAAGTTAAGATCTAGACCACAAGAAGGTACTTAAATAAAATATTTTCCAAAATTTTCTCAATTTTAGTTTTTAATTTTGTCATATTTGAAATACTTTTTTCATAAAAAAAAAACAAAAAGAAACAAATAGTACAAGCTTGCCTTTCTGAGATATTTGCAAAAAAAAGATGCATCTGATACTAGCGTATAAAATATATAAATTTGGTTGATAGGCATGCTTGTGCTATATGTTTTCTGAAAGAAAATATGCTGTAAACTTCATAAAATTTTGCATATAATTGGAAAAATTCAGAAATCAACATACTTTCTGACCTTCTAGTGACCTCTGTGTACCCCATAACTTTTATAATGAGTAGAACTAATACTCATTTTGTGGCAAGAGTAATAAGTGGTTTTCAATTTATATACTATTGCATCATTCTAAAAGACACCCAAACGCACCCAAAACGAGTCTGACCCTGTCCTGTCATTAAATTTTATATTTAGGAAATGTGGCGATCTGGTTGTGTATTAATGAAACATAACAATATGTTTAATAATATATATAATAATATACTATACTAAAAATAAAGAAAAAAAACCTCAGAATACAAATGTTCGAAAAAAAAGAAAATCTCAGTATATTGTCAGTCCGTGCAGTTTTGGTGTGTTGATTTTACAATTAAAAACACCCGGTAAATCGTAAATATTAACAATAACAGAGCTCGTGCACACAAAACTCAACACGGGATGATGACTTGTAAAGGGGTTTTCTTTTCAAAATTTCTACGTTATACCCCCCTCAAGAATGGAGTTTATATAATTATCATTCTGGTTAAAAAACTTCAATATTTTTCATAAATATATGTAAACAACAATTTTGCAATTTTACTCAAGTACGGAGAATAAAATCAAAATTTTAGACAGTGCAAGGATGTGACAATTTAAACCGTCAAAAAATTAACGTTTCAATAAATTTTAGATAAAATAAGATTTTAATTTCTTTTTCTTGTGAGAAATGCAATTGCAATACATAAGTCGTGATATCGAATGCTGGATAACTCCCCCCCAAGACAATTCGCCCCCCCCCCCCCCTGTTTAGGTCAACTCGCCCCAAATTTAAAACAGCTCGACCCTATTTAAGACAACTTTTTTTAAATTGAAATCTTCACTAAATTCACAAATTTATCCTAAACTTTCATAACAAAAACTTAAAAGAGGTAATTCCCAGAGTTTGCATGCTAAAATTTTCCAACATGTTGAAACTGCTTCGGAGTTTGGACACGACATGCCATTTTTTAAAAACAAAATAATAGTAATTTCGATTGAGCTTACATGTACTAATTTAAATAAGTTATCACTTTGAAGTATCAAAATTAGTTATTAGCTTAGATATTTCATTGAAATTTCTGCAAGATGTTTTAATTTAAATTTAGGTAATTTCATTTTGATCAGTTTCATAACGCCGTCGGTTTATCAGTAATTTCGTCATTAGATAATTTATATATTTTAACACTGTTAAAAATATGTTCATAAGAATAAAAATGTTTTAAAAATGATAATTTTGAAAATATGAAACATAAAAAAAATGAATTTATTCACTCTATTTCGTAAGAATAAAATTAAAGAAGGCACGGATATTATGATAAATCTTTGATGCACACAATGTTTTTTTTACAAAGATATGACGTTAATGCATCATGAAAAAAATAACCTAGCCATTACAACTGTGAGTATTGATTATAATTTAAATTTGCATATAAAATAAATTTTTGAATAACAGTTGTTTTTTTACTTGCAGTTCACAAGAAAGGGGACGAACGATGTATGGTCATGTGACTCAATTTAATTACGTCATAATCTCTGATAAATTATGTTCAAAACCAGATTAAAACCACAGTATTTTTTTTTTTTTTTTAAAATACTGTTTGTTTGAGTTCACCGTCTTGTATAAAAATATTTAAAAACATTCAAACTTTCTTGCAAATAGTTTCAAATTACAGAATAGATTGATTGGCTCTTCTGTTTCCCTACACTGTGTGTCCAACGAGTCACTGACGTCAGAGCCGATCTCAGTACAGTAAGATTATACAAGGTAAAACATGGGTAGTATAATATCATAAAAACGGGTCATAATCAGTGCATGGTGGGATATTTTATGAATTACAGAAAAAAATATTCTTACAAGGTTGTTGACGGAAATATATTGTAGTTATGTCTTACTTAGCTTATTTCGCTAATGTGTGAGTCATAGTAGGGTTTTCCCGTACTCGAGAAATGTAAACATGACATGTTTTTCTCATGCTCATGTCTTGTTTAAATATGCCCTGTGCAATATTGAGCTCAGCTTCACCAATCGATATTTTTGCAGTTAATCCATAACATAAAGAATTTGCATTTCGACGTAATTTTTCAAATATTAAATTATAGGATTTTTGTAAATTAATTTTTTGTCATTTAAGTTGTCTTAAAAAGAATGTAATTTTCCGTCTCCAAATGCGGTGTGACAAAAGAATCTCACCTTTTCGAATTTTTAACCCTATTCATACTCTGAAATATATTAAAAGACACATGTTCACTGACATATTTTTATCTATGCTGAACAAATTCAATAATGGACTGAGTAATGGGCCCAGAAATACGGAGAATCAAACCTACACTCAGACACTGTGGGGCATAGTATTTGTCACTCAATATCTCAGAAATAAATCTAGAAACCTATTGATATATCTGCTTTAATATATGTGGGACATACTAAATATGAGATATACAAAATATGAAAAAAATTGAATGACAGGTATTTTTTGAGCTAAAGGTCCTTCATCCCCTTATGAAGTGAAAGGGGCGACTTGTATCGTTTTTGTCTCAGTTTTCCTTATCCTGTGATATCATACTTAAATATTAACTTCAAATCTGTGTCTAAGCACCTTTAATAGCTTCCTTAATTATAATTTCAGAGCACAAACAGAAGTGATTTAATAATCAATTTTTAGAACTTAAACCTTAGACATACTTATTTTCAAACTAAACCCTATAATGGCATTTATCTGTCAAAAGTAAAGTAAACAGCAGACATTGTTAAAATGAACTTCCTATTTCTTTTTAGGGCTAGTACCCTCGGTCGATATACTCAATTTATCAGAGGTCAATATCTGTGTACCTTGGTCATTATAAATGCATATTGACCTACATGGAGTACATATTTGTATATAACATGTATAAGCAGCATATATTATGGAGAGTGTAAATGAAAATGAAAGAGGCCTTTTGAACTTAAAATAAAAAGAGTCATCTATCGGTACAGTCTGAGATACTACAGTACACTACCCAGAAATAAACTTCTATATCATATCATTGGCAAAACGCGTTTCTCATGATATATCAGTAATTAATTTGTTTTACCTATTAAAAGATACATGCCCAAGGGACATAACTCTGTCAATAATTACTCGATTGTATCTAAAACAAAACATGGCGTAGATATCCTGAAAATAAATATGTATACAAAATTTCATTTCTGTATGTACAAAGAAATTGAATGGAAACTTTGGTGAAGCTACAGACAGTCAGCAGCAGAGTTATATGCCATCCCTTCTTCTAAGGGGCATACATGTGAATATAAACCGTTCGTCTCTTGTACATTTCTATACACGTTATTAATTTAAGTATGAGTATAGACAGTTCTAATCAAATATGTCAGTATTATTGCCTGTAGTTTGATTATCAGCATACATTGAACAATTTATGAAGAGTCTATGAATACATTAATATGTCAATGACTTTAAATGAGTTTTTTACCTTTCAGAGACCTGTGGCATGGAACAGATGACTTCCCCTATAGTAATAAGAGATACATTAAATGACAAAGTATTGAAAAATAATTTTTAAAATGCTCATTTTCTAATCATTTTCAAAGAAAAAAAAACAAAACAATCTTTTAAAAGCATAATTATGTATTCCAATTGAAATGACAACAATTTAAATTTGCTTTTTTAAAAATTTGCTTGAATTGTGTAGTTGTTAACACGTTAACTTCTAGGTTGCAGGTTAAGAAGTTGATCGTTTTGTTGCGGTTCGAATCAAATTGTGAGATGCGGATACTGTCCTTTGGATTGGACCGTAAAAACTGAGGCACTGTGTTTAATTTAGAAAAATGTATACATGATTGATGAGAGAGCGAGTTAGTTACAAATCTGCCCTTATCAAACTGATATGTTTGCTGCAAGGCTGCAACAACTCTGCTGCAAGCTTGCAGCAAACAAAATTGTTCGCAGGAAGAAAATTTTCATGATCTCAGAACTGCAATCTTGCGGCAAACATTGCAGAGAATTCGCAGGAACCCAACATGTTTGCAGGAACATTGCAAGAAACATACGCCATTTAATGTTTGCAGCAAGTTCGCAGGAAACATTACATATTCGAAAGTTTGCAGGAATTTTGCAAGAACCGTAAACAAATCAAATCAGCCAATGAAATACAGATTGTACTGGGGCAACACAGAACTGGTCATTTTGAAATGTTTGAATTGAGGTTGTACATGTTTCAGTATTTTGTAACATTGGATGACGTTCGATGACCCCCTAATTATCTCCAAAAATCCTAAAAATTTCCATGCTCAAGGTCTTTAAGTTTTTGATATCCAATGAAAGGTCTTGCCACACATATATGAAGTGTAAAAGTCCTGGCATCTAATGTTCAAAAGATATGGCCAAAAGAAAAGTTTGGAATTTTTTAGTAAAGGTGGGTCAACCTCATGGGTCAAGGTTAAACATTCAAAATGTGGTGGTACCCAAAAAAAGTCCTTGTCAGATGAACTAAACATTTGAAAGAGCGATATATGGTAAGTGTCTCAATTGGCCCCTTAAAATGAATATCTTAATTTTACTTTATATATAGCTGTAGTTTGTATAGCTATATATGCGACCTTTATTGGTAATTTTCGTTTTGACCAAAATGCCGTTATTTTAGAAATATGACATCATAAAAATCACGTTTTCCCGCCATTTTAGCATATTTTGTATAAAACTGCTTATTTTCAAGCAGTTTTTCTTCCAGAAAATATAGAGCGCAGCCTAGAACAAGCTTTATATTTTTAACAAAGATGTATCTATCCAATACTAATTAGTGACAGAAAAATTATATATGTTCTACACTGCGCTCTTTGTTTCCCATAAGAAAAAACATCAAGAAAAAGGCATATTTTTTTCTTTTTTTGTTAGATAGCAAAAAATCATCATTTCTCATGTCAATTAGAGCGAGTGGGTGCATGTAAATGTGAAAAATATATTGGAAATATTTCTAACATAATCTCTTCTACAAAATAAATTTCAATTAAACATATCTCAGTGTCATTCTAAAATGTACATTTTTAGGGGGCCAATTTGGCTCTTATCCTATATACTCCTTTGAAAGTCCTAGCTTCACTAAATCAAAATTTATAGGCAAGGTTTAATTTTTTGCAGACAAATAGACAGACAGACGGACGGACAAAAAAAAAATTAGATACCCCCGAAACTTAGTCAACAGGGGCATATAAATTGCATTTCGTAGATATTAATTCGTGGGTTTCTTCAAATCTTGAAAATCGTCTGCGTGGCGCAGTAGTTATTGCCTCTGCTCTTGAGTCGCGTACTAAGGAGTCAATTCGTACGTCGAGGGTTCGAATCCCACTGTGGGACGTGGAGACCGGTCCTTCGGATGACACCGTATAAACCGAGGTCCTGTCCTGCAATAGGTGCTGGCTCGAAAACGATTCCTCCCTGCTCAATGGCCCTGAGTGCTTAGCATAGGACAAAATTTTTAGCTCTCCACCGGCAAGTAATGATGTCTCCATATGAATGAAAAATTCTCGAGATGAACGAACAAACAATATACAAACAATCATACCTTAAAAAAGATGTAAACCTCAAAAAAAAATTAGTGATTTCACAGTATTCATGTACACATGTAAACATTAGAACATTAGAAAGCTGTTATCTCTTAGTTTTAGTTGCTGTGGTAAAAGTGTGTGAGTCTTCACTGACCCGTAACAAAGATAAGATGATCTAAGAAACCACGTTAACAGCAACATCTCATTTTTTGTGACGTCTTGATTAACTAACTATCCTAAGTCCATCTCTAAGTATTTAGAAACTGTGAGTATATTTTAAATAAAAAATTCAAATGCTGATAAATACTTAAAACACTTAATAGTCACTAATGATAAATTTTCATTATAAATTTCAATTCACAACAAAAGAAAAACCATAGAAATATTTTTTTTTCAAGTTTTACTTGTATTTTTTTTTTGTCTTTTTAAAAATTGCTTTTCACTCATATGAAGACACACATGCCATTTGAGAGCAAGTAGTACCATTGGAAAGTATACAGCATTTTCTTATTTGTGCCAGCATCTACTGCGACACTGTACCTCAGTTAAACGGTGTCATCCGAAAGATCGGTCTCTACATGGGATTTGAATCGGCAATGTAAAGATATATTTCTTAGTTCGCCACTCTTTAGGAACTGTCTGATATTTATTTTAGAAAAGCCTAACCAGTTGCCACAGAATAGCGTGTAAGCGCATAATTTGTTGCTTGGCTTTGGTAAATACAGATATGATAAGGAAAAACAGATCGATTGTATGTTATTTTACGTCTGGTTAAGAATTTTTTAATCAAATAGGATCGTCACAATATACTAGTAAAAGGCTTCAAATTTAGACTTTTACTCGACACTGAGGGTCATAGAGCAGGAAACGATCTTTATCGATCAGCCAAGCTTTGTATTGACAGAGGACTTCGTGTTTAAAGGTCTTATTCAAAAGACCCATATCTTCCACATCAATGCAGGCGTTTTATGCTACGTATAGGAGAACAGGGCCTAATTTATACGGATTATGTTTACTTTGACAAGACAAAAAATAGGCGACTCCTAATAATAACAAAAGATAAATACAATGCTGATTTAACTAATGCACTGAACTACATCAAAACTTACATCACAACTGTATTCATTTTTGTCGGTAGCTAAATACAACATAACAAGATATTAACAAATTACTGATAGCAATGCATCCTGTCGACATCACGTCTTTATAAAACCTGACGCATTTTTATGTGGATAGAGAGACAGATCCAGTATTTTTTTTGTAGTAAAAAATGCATATTATGATTAAACAGAAGAATGTCATTTCTAAATTAAAGTGAGTATGTTAAGGAAGCATTTAAATCATTTCTAGGGAAATTTAGACTTCTTAAAGAGAATTAAGTTTTATAGTTTACCAAAACCGCTGATAAACGTAAAATATTATTATCTATTGCATAAAGATAAAAAGAGTGTCTAACGCAAAGACGTGCACCACCACCAGGTCATCAAGTCACTTCTATTAATAGCGAAAAGTTCCTAAATAAACAAAGATAACAGAACAACAATAAAAAGGAGTTTAACAATTTCTTTGGGTAAATAATATAGTAGATATAGTAAAAAGAAAAACATCTATTTTGCCTAAAAAATGCTGCTAGAATCCCACTGCCCTGAAATAATTATACCACACATTTGAACGATACCTTTCCCGATGATTTTATAGTGATACAGTCGTGCGTTTGTATGCTGATTCAATAAAAAAAGTAATGGAAGGACCCTGATTAATCATTGCAAGGGCATACCCCAAATCCAATTACGTAATCTTACTTTCATAAAAAAATATTGATGAAATTAAATACCCTCAATGCATCTAACCAAGTTTTCACACACACTTCAACTCAAGAAGCATTAAGATACTTGAAAAGTGCTGCGAACCTCATGAAATCTTGCAAATAAATTAATTATAGCTATATTTAATGTAGTTGACGAGCAAAATATTCAAACTGCCGTCAAACAACTTAAATTTTAACTATTATGTGCATATGCAACGTAGTTTGAACTTTATTGGTTTCTTCCATGGAGTTGAAGGTTAGCATTAAATGAAGGGTCTGGTTGCAATACATTTAATGTCTATATAAGGATTTATACGCCTCATCTACAACAAATTTTGACTGAAAAATATCTAAAATATATGTTTCGTATTTTTTGTACATTTTTCTTTGAATAATAATTTTTTTTCATAATTTGGTATCTTTTCAATAGCCCTGGTAACGCATGCTGATTTCTTGTCTTAGAACTTGTAATTGTATTATGGGTTTAAATCTAGAATATTTGAAAAATTATCAGTAGGTAAGGTACCTTGCGTATATCCTTAAATTAGAGAATATATATCTGGGTTTGCAACACTTTTTACAAACTACATAAAGTGTTGAAAACAATTATAAATTGGACTAAGTTTTAAATTGGCTATGCCCTTGCAATATTGGAATTGATAGATGACCTCTATACTGTAAGTATGATTGTTAAAATCAAGTGACTTCGAATTCAGGTGATATGAAATAAATATTAATGTCCTCAACATGTAGATTTAAACTGCATAATATTTTTCTGATAAAAGTGAAGTCCTATAAAGAAAGACCCATCCTTATAAAATGTTTAAAATGTTTTTGCTGCTTTTGGAATTATGTTACCTGATATTCAAGATGCATATAAGAATATAATCTGACTCACCTTAACATATGCTTATCATATGATAGAACTAAAGCTGAGGGAAGGATATGGAGATAGCGAACAGTATTCAATCTCAACGTCCATTAAACAATATACAAAATATGAGCAGAGCAAACACGGACCTCCGAAACATCAGAGGTGGGATCAGGTGCCATGGAGGAGTGAGCATCCCCTGCCGACCGGTCACACCCGCCGTGTGCTCGTTGTCATGATCAGGAAATAACGGAAAAAATCTGCCGTCAATTCAGTGTATAAACAATGGACTAACAATTGGTATGAAAAACGTCAGTCAGCATTTGACTCAATGATAAATTGTATTTGCTGACAAGGTCATTGTATCGACCATAGAACTTACGAAATTATGACTTTAAACGAAACTGTTGATATTCTTGTTTCATCAACTTGCTTGTCAATAATTTACCTCGTTTAAGAAATTGTTCATACGTAGAGCATGCTCTTGCGTATCGAATCAACTGAGAAATATATACTCTGTATGCATGTGATGAAGGTATATTGCTGCATAAGTAAGGGAAGTTGACGATAGAAAAGTTAAAGTCATCACGTTTATCATATAACTTGGTTGTTAGATTACCATAAGTGTTTGTTTCAAGTAAAGTATCCAAGTATGAAGCAGAAGTGTCGGACTCTGTGGTATCTTTTATCTCAAGCTCACCAGGATATATCGTATCGACGTAGGAATGGAAATTATCATTATTAATTGACAATACGTCGTCGAATAGCTTATTCGATATTGTTTGATACAGAGAATAGCAATGTTGCTATGGTCATCAGAAACATTCAATTCTGTTACATGTTCTTTTACCTCAATATTAAACCCTAAGTGGTGTCTTTTTGCATCCAGTTTTAGAGATTGTGTGGTAGTCAAACTTGAATGTCATGTTGAGTAGCTAGCTATTCATAACTTTCATTTATAAACATTTTATTATTCTACATAGACGTATAAGTATCGAAGAAATATGATACAATATGATATATAAGAATACCATGTCCTAGAAATATAATAATGATTGATTGATTGTATGTTTTTTAACGTCCCTTTCGATAATTTTTGACTCATATGGAGACGTCACTGTATGCCGGTGAAGGGCTTCAAATTTTTTACCTTTACTCGGCACTCAGGGCCATTGAACAGTGCGCGGGTATGTTAAGGAAGCATATAAGTTAGTTTTGGGGAAATTTAGACTTTTTGAAGAAAATTTAGTTTAATAAATTACCAAAACCACTGATAAACGTAAACTGTTATTTACTATTGCATACAGATAAAAGCGTGTCTAACACAAAGACGTGCATCACCGCCACGGCATCACGTGATTTCTATTAATAGCAAAATTTTCCTTAACGAAAAGGCTTACAGAACAACAATACCCCGGAGTTTGATAATTTCTTTGAGTGTGTGATATAGATGAAAAACATCTAATTTGTCTAAAAAGTGCTGCTAGAATCCCACTATCTTGTCCGTAAAATATTTATTCCACACATTCTCTCGAAACCTTACCCTTTGTTTTGAATTTTATACATATGAATCGAGATTTTTCGTACAACCATGCTTAACTCGGGATTCTAGCAGCACTTTCCAAGTTTGTCAAAACACAAACTTTCAATCCGTACAAATCGTATGTTTTGAAATATCCAGCTTATTGTTGTTCTGTTGCATTTTTTGGTCAAGAATGACGGACGATAGGCCGACCGGGATACGTAACATAGCGGACTGTCTTCGAAAGAGAATATAATCGATGATAATAAATTAGCATACCTGTTTAATTAATTGAACTCCATATGAATTTAACACAATATTTCCGATATTCCCGTTTAAACTCAATTTAACGTATCTTTGAACATGCCGTCTATGCCAAATTCTCTTTACACGACATGATCAATTTCTGAGTTACTTGATGTACACATATGACGTCATCGGTGGTAGATTTCAATCATAATGACTGTTACAGCATAACAAAATAAAAACATTTTATTTTTGTTAATGTTTACACGTTTCTAATCATTTTCTAGAGTTAAATTACATAGCTAAATACCAATATTACGAAAACCTGATTTCTAAAATTGACGTCATCTTGCCTACTATGACGTCATAATGCAGCACTGATTTAGCCAAGGTAGAATATTTTGTATGCTTCCTTATTCCCCCTGCGTGAGGGATCTTTATCGTGCCAACGCCTGCCGTGACATGGAACCTCGGTTTTTAAGGTTTCGTCCGAAGGACCCTAAACTTTCACTTCAAGTGCTGAGCGCATGGTGAAGGAACAGTTGCTACCCATTTATTTCGACCTAGGTCGGTTGCATGCGAGATACGAACTCACGACCTCACGATCACGAATAGAATTATTTCTTCCGACTAGAAATATAATACTTTCTTCTATTTAAACTCATTTTTATAAAAAAAAAATTCCATTGGGGAGAGAAAGAAAGTGACAGAGAGAAAGAGAGAGAGATAGTTTATATTTACTCACTCTATTCCAGAATTTTGTCAGAGCTTTTATATTTATCTCATGTGATTCTATAAATCCATGTCTTGGACACAATATTGTATCGTTTCCTGATAGTAATTCTTTTTCATACACATAGCATTCTTCACTTTCGCAAAGCACATCTTGATTTAAACACTGATATGCGATACAATATTCAACTTCTTTATGAAATGTGCTTGTTAAGTATTTAAGTCTCTTTTCCAGTGTCTCTTTTATTTCTACTGCGATATCAATATCAATAGGTGAGTTTTTTGGTCTCAGAATCTGCACTTGAATTGCAGTTTGCGTCACAGCCAAAGCAATTAGATGGTCCTTGTATACAAAAATTGCTATGTTTTTATACAAGCCTGGTAAACTTTTATCCTCTACCACTTTCCACTCTGTTCCAACTATGCAGGCAACTATCAATCGACAGTAGAAGAAGAACGGTAAAAAGTGGAAATGTAGCACCAACACAGATGATTTTGTTTCCATTCCCCGTAAGGCAATCCGTTCCTTCCTACCAAAATCTCTTTTATTCATACATGGGACATAGTGTTTTAATTTTCCTATAGCAAGTAATCCTAGTCTTTGCATATATTGCAAAATGGTCGGCCTTTCCCAAGATTCTATAGATAAGCTTTCCCAAACTCGACCAAGAAAATTGTCCATGAGATACCCAGATCTATGGAAGTACTGCCACTCCTTGTCAGTTTCAGCTAAGTCTCGGACATGATTTTTGTCTGATATTATAAATTTAAATGTATCAACAAACCATTGGACGTCAGCTACGATGGTATTTGAAAGGTTCCCCTCCTCAAAGTAAAGAATCAATCCAATGTCATGGAAAAAGCATAGTGCATCCTCAATTTTTAAACTTTCATCTTCCTTAGCCTTCCAGTATTTCTCTTTGAGATCTTCGATAGGAACGGTCTTTTCATAACGTCTCATTGTGATTAGAGCGAGTTCAATTATAGACCATTCTTTTGGAATATCTTCTTTCCATCTCTTGTCTTTGGCAATAGAAGTAATGCAGTTTTCTAATTCAGATAAAACTTCCAAATCTTCACCTTTGTCAGAAGGAAAGCTGACAAAGAAACACCTCTCATAATTTAAATGTTTCTTAAGATTCGAATCTGTAGGTAGCAAATCCAAGAGCTGTCCATAAAATCCGTCTTTTTCCTGTAAGAAAAATATAATATATACATAATATTTACAATCTTCTGGACAAAGAAAAAAGTTAAGATATACAGTAAATAAAAATACATCTGTATTTATAATCAAAAACGAGTATGTTGAGTCAGCAACCATAGAAATTTTAAATCTTTGAACACAAAATTTATTCTGAGCAGCACTTCCAATCTGTTACAAAACGCATGCTTTTAATATTGAATTGTGGTTAAATTATCTGGGGTAGTTTTTAAGGCTTGTGTTTTTGTAAATTGAACTGGATTGGCAAATAATTATTGTCTTCCTTCAAAGAAATAATTGAAAAAAATAGATAAGAATAACTGTATAAGAAATATATCATATACCTAGTAGTGTATCAGCCCTGATACAGGCGATTTGGACTAAGCGAGACAGCGCCTTGGAAGTAGGGCTGAGATATCTCTGTCTCGGCCCGTCGTCAAGGGGCTGTCTCGCCCTCAAATTTCAAATCATTATTTCTGTTTTATTTGGGTGAATAAAGAGTAAAATTCGTATTTTCGTAATAAAGATAAACATTATATATCTAAAAATTTAACCAGAATCTTTAAAAATATTTATTTATATTAAAATTTTGAGAAAATTGTTTTTAAAAAGTGCGCCAATTGATAGCACTTGTGACGTAAGAGAGGTAACTCTTGTTTACTTCTAGGACAGAAACAAATCAGGTTTTGAAAAAATGGACGCTTATTTGCTCTGACAGTAAGACAATACAAAGTTTTCATGTAAATGTTCCATTTTTAATTTGATATATATCGTAAACAAAACAAACAGTTACTCTATATTTCTTCAGATTTACAACTTGTTACGATTCGTTGAAGAAGTTGTAACCCCGGTTCGATCTAAAGTGAAAGTAGAATATTTTTTAAAGTTTTTTTACCTTTTAAATTCTTTGTTATATATAATGTGCTTCGAAAGGAAATGTTTCAAAACACCAGGGCTTTTCTTTTTAATGACTAAACCAAGTAAATCTTTCTCTATATATGATTATTCGCCGTCAAGCAACATCTCCAAGAACATCGAAATAAAGAAAGATAACTCTAATTTTGTTACGACAAAATGATATAAACTTTTTGATTGAAAAATATCTAAATGTTTGTTCTTTTCTTTGGTTTTAGATATATGATATAAACAACATCACACTACTGTTTTGATCTCGTCCCTGGTATCAGCCCTCGGATGGTCTCGGCCCGCGCCCTCCGGGCTTAGGCCGATACCAACCGCTCGGGCTGATACCAGGGCCGACATCAAAACAGCAGTGTGATATTCTATATTTCTCTCATCTGGATCACAAAAATTAATTATGTTTCCTTCTAAACCTACGGTTTCCTGTTCTATTTACATGCCGTTTTGAAAAAAAGGAACTACAATTCAATGTCACTGGTCGTATATGTTAAAAATTTATGACATCATCAGTCTACGTATTTAATCCCTGTGCTTAACATAAAATAAATGATTTTTTCTGCCACTTTTTTTCATGTTTACTTTGATCTTAAAGTAGACAAATACTCGCACTACATTAGTAACGTATAGTAAAAGCAGAACCATACTGCTAATTTCCGAGATGTGATTTTGAACTGTATTTGTTTCACTTTTATTTTGCGCTTTAAAAATCCAATAACGATTTTGCTCAAAGTCAGTTGTATAAACAAACTAACAAACATTGCTTATAACGTCAATTTAAG